AGTTTAATCAAGAGTGGAGAAAGCTAATACCTTGTGTCTAGCTAGTATACATGTACTAAACTTCAGTCATTTCATTAAGAAAAACCCATTTCCATATCTATTATCCTAAATTTCTGTTATCGCTAAAAAAATTAAATTAAGATAAAGTCTTTGGAGGGTAAAATTTTGGTTAGTCTTGCAAATACTAGCTAGACACCCTGGAGTATGCATTGTTATTTCAGTGTTAATTAACCTTAAATGACCCTAGGTTTATTTCAAATGTTGACTGACTACCCCTCTAAAGAACCAGTGTTTAAAAAGAGGATTTTAAAGTATAGCAAATGGAAAGGCTATGTAAGAGCAAAGAGCTCTGCCATTAATTAGTTGTTTCTAAATGTGTGCTAACAAGTCCTTAATTCAGACAATGTCAGGTTCTTCTCTAAAAGATCAGAAACCATTCAATTCAATTAGGACACCTGATTTGTGTACTATAAGCACAGACTAGAACATTTCCCTCCCACAGTAAAGAACTTGGCTTAACTTGAGTTCATAAATGTTTTGATCATTGCCTCTTCTCCCTTCATACCTCTGCAATCATGGCACACAACTGTGACAGTGTCTACCCGCTCACTAGAGCCCGTTTCTCAAATATAATCTGGTATTCAAGGTACAGATAGATTTCTGTACTGATGCCACATAACCCTGTATCTTTGAGGGGGCTTAGCTATCTACCATCAAATGATTTGAATAAAGTGATCACTTAAACCCCACTATCTAGACAGTTGAAGTCCAAGCACCTTCTATCTTGGCTACCATCTCCACTTGGAATAGAACTGGTCACAAGGAAGTGGAAACTGGAGCCCTCACCTGATGTTACTCTCACAGACTTTATCTCACAGGCCACATCATCACTAGTCTACTGTGTTTTTTAATGCTTCAGTTTGATTGAGTTTTCTGGTCTTGAGTTTTATTATTAAATGTCTCTACACAGGATAGGCCTCCACCAGAATCTTGATTTGTGACTTATGTATCTTTTCTCCATTTATCAAATTAATTTATCATGTATAAACTGGTTGTTTGGTCATCTGTGAAAGAGGCCTCTATCCTACTTCCACAAAGAGTAGGGATTGCATTAAATTTTTAGATCCCTCATCTAGCTTCTATACAAGTGCCTGGTTTAACTTGATGCCCCTCTGATTCCTGTTCAATAACTGGACGAGGCTGAAATTCAAGTGACCATCATCCTACTTTAACTGGGGCTGAGGGAGTATGTGGGGAAAAGGACTTTCAGTACCAGAACAAGCAAACTCCTGAAGAAACCTGGCTTAGCTTGCAACCTGTTTAGTTGACCGGTGAGATGCTAGCAAATTTGGCTACAATGAGAGCTTCATGTAAAGCAGCCCCAGGCCACATCTGGTACAAGTGGTACTAACACATTTCCCATTAAAAAGTCTCTTCTGGCCAGTATCTTATGCAGAGAAGTTGTATCCTTGAAAAAAAAAAAAAGAGTTTTCTTGAAATTATTAAGAAATTATAGTTCAATCAAAAGCCTACTAGATGGTCTTAAAGCTTTTTCTACTGTGATTGCTTATTTCCTAGGCCTAACTAATCTTAAGCCTGCAACTCTATGACATCCAATTAGTGGCTGGCACTTCCTGAAATCTGAAATATACTTCACTAATAACTCAACTGTGTATTTCTCAGTGGATCAGTACTTAAGTGTTTTTCTTCATCTTCTTCTAAAATAAAGTATTTATAAGAACAGAGATGTAGTTGCTAGGTGTTTCATTATTGGGTAGAGTGCATTTTATTCATAGTTTTCAAAAAGTAAAGTGATTCATCCCACAAATATTTACTGAGCATGTCTGCCAGGTGATTATGATGTAGGGTATAGTTTGAGATACATTGGTATATGTAAAGGAAAAAAAGTATACATTACAGAGTACAAAAGACATGGTTCCATTCCAGTTCTAGATAATGTGATTTTAAATACTTCAAATTCCTGGTACTACTAGGTTATCTGCTAATAAATGAGTTTCATATTTGACTTAATGATTATTATTGAGACAGCCTGGTAAGCGATACATATTCATTTATTGTATTGATGATCTTTCTCTAAGTAATTTGAAGGCAAGCTTAAGTTTAAAAACCACTGGTCTATAAGATGTAATATATTGGACAAAGATATATATTTTGAATAATTTAGTGCAAAATGAAAATACACGGTCCCATACTCAAATATTAAGATATTCAAGATGGTAACAATAAAGCCTTAAAACAAATATGGGCCCTACTAAGCACTGGCCTCCAACTGTGTATTTTGATTATCAAAAGAGGAGTTTCTGCTTTTATCTAACCTTTCTTTTTAGATGGAAATAATAAAATGACATGGAAGAGGTTCAAACATTACAAATCTTAACCTCCTGAACTAACGACCTCCATAGATAGATAGTGCTTGCAAGCAAATGTGTTTTTGCTCAGTTATCTTCCTTTTACTGACCCATACACATATATGATTTGAGACCTAACTTAATAAAAAAGTCCCATTCTTTATAAAGTCCTCCCTTAACTATTATAATTCACTTAGCTCTGGCTCATTAACTTTTATAGTACATAAATCCTATGTTTTTTTTTTTTTTTAAGATTTATTTATTTGTGCATACAGAACTGGGGTACAGGCCAGAGGCTCAGGGGCGGTGAGAGGCTTCACCAGAGACAGAGCGGGGAACAGAACAGGCAGATCAACGAAGTACACTGCTGAGGGGAGCAGCGGGAGGGTCAGGAGAGGTCACCTCCTGGGCAGGCGGGAATTGAACTCTTGTGGAAGCGGCTTTAAATTCTCAGTGCTGTGCTTTAACCCACTGCGCCACCACGGAGGGCCAAATCCTATGTTTTTTTAAAAGTATGCCACTTCACCTTTACAGAAGACCTGTATTAATTATCTGGTTTTGCTAACAGAAAGAAACCTGAAAGGTTAGGACAAGAGGAGTTACCAGTATTTGTTTTTGCAGTGAGCCATTACTAAGGTAGCTTGCTCCCCAAGCAAGCAAGTGGCACTGTCAAGCTCTTTCCTGTGGAGCCATCTTTTATACAGGCTGCATATTTCTCATCTTTCCCTCATTAATCTTTGTCAATATTGTTTTAGGTTCTGTGTGGTATTTGGGATAATTTGTTAGATTTTATTTGGATGGTCTGGGAATACCAAAAAAAAAACAAAACTCCATATAAAGTAATAATTCCTTCTTAACGTTTTAACACTATAGTATGGGAAAGGTACCACAAAACATTACTTTATATAGTGGGGGAAACCTCTACTTAATTTGTTTTATGGATTTAGCTATTAAATTTAAAAATATGATTTGCTGATCATTGTGCTTATTTTTTTTTTAATTAGAATATAAGCCCTTTAAGGGTCAAGAAGGTGCTATCCTCATACAATGGGAAAAGTAGAGGCTTTGAGCTCAGTAAAGATTGGGTATATCTATTCTTCTCCCACTTAATGTCTTTCACATAGGTAAATTAACTTACCTTTTTTTTTAAAAAAAAGGTTTTATTTACTTATGCTTACAGAACTGGAGTACAGGCCAGAGGTGTGATGGGTGAGAGGATTCACCAGAGATAGAGTGGGGAGCTGAAAAGGTACATCTATTGAAATACAATGCTGAGGGAGCAGCAGGCTGGTCAGTAGAGGTCTGCCATACCATGTGGGTCATCTTCCTGGCAGGGGATCAAATTCTTGCTGCAGTGGCTTCAAAGAGCTTCATAATGTGATGCTTTCAGCGTTGTGTCACCAGGGAGAGCCCAAATGAATTTACTTTTGAGCCGCAGAATTTTCACTAGGAAAACAAGGTCTATTTCACTGGGTTGTTGTTAAGATTAAATGAGATCATGTAAGTAAAGTCATAGATGTACAGACAAGCTAGTCAAATATTAATTCCATTATCAGATGTGCTATAAATCTGATTTTGCTGCAGCAAACAGAATAGAGCTAGCTATGAAGCTCAACGGGAATCTGAATTTTTTAATGAGTTATTTCACATGTGCTTAGGAAGCAAACAATCCTATATTGAACCACATAAATTGTTAATTACCTCCAGTTTGTAAATTCTTATACTCATTTTTGCAAAAAACATTTTTTTTGCAGAATTGTTTTTAAAGCATTTTCACAGCTATTAAGTTTATCAAAGTCACTCTTACATGATGAAAAGAGGTATTCTTGTGTCAGTGAAGAGATGAAAAAGACTGGTGTGCGCAGGTCAAGGGATTGTTCCAAATTACACAGTACTAGAATATTCACTAAAATGTCCTCAAAAGTGGGTCTCCTTGTCCATTATTTTTTCTCCACTATACGAAACTATCTTAGGTTAACAAGAATATAAACAGCAGCAATGATTTCAAATATATGCTTTCAAAGTATATGCAGACACAACTATTTTAATTATACTGGGCATACAGTAGTTATTTAATGTCTGTATAAAACAGCTTTGAATGTGCAAGTTACTGTTCCTGTTTAATAGCGGTATCTGCTTTGTAAAGTGTGAGATATTTAAATTCCTCTTTTGATCAATATATTTTAAGGGCTCATTTACTAAAAAAAAAAAAAAATTAAGAACAAGATTCATTAATTTTAAGACAGTTTCAATATGGGGCCTACCATATTATGCTTTCCCCCCACCATGTGAATCATTATACTCCTTCCTCATGACTAGCGCAAACCACGCTTTGCCTGCCAACCCCATGACTCAGAGCCCTCTGAGGACTCTGTAGCCGCTCAGCGCGGCCCAGGAACCCAAAGCCGTTTCCACGTGAAACAACCAAACACGGTATCCTAACGCGAAGGTCCGCTACAAGGAGGGTTCCTGAATAAAAGACGAATGAGAAGGCAGCGCCTTCCTCTGAGCCCACCCCCTCCACAGTGTAGAGCCCAATCGCTTTCCTCTGTTGTGAGATTCGCGTCTGGGATTGGTCGGCAACGGGACCGGCGCGGCACTAGAGCGTCCCGGCGGAGAGCAGAGACTTGTCCGTCACGTGCGGCCGCCGGGCCTCCAAGCCTCGCTGCGCGCTGGCGGGGCCGGGGGCGGGGCCCGGGAGCTGCTGCGCCTGCGTTGTGGGCGTTCTCGGGGAGCAGCTGCCGTCGCCGCCGCTACCACCGCGTTCGGGTGTAGAATTTGGAATCCCTGCGCCTCGTTAACAATGAAGCAGAGTTCGAATGTGCCGGCTTTTCTCAGCAAGCTGTGGACGCTGGTGGAGGAAACCCACACCAACGAGTTCATCACCTGGAGCCAGGTATGGGTCAGGGCACGGCAGCCACCGAACCTCGAGTAAACGCGTTCTCTCGCTCTCCCGCGGGTTGTCTCTCGCGGCCTGCGGCTCGACGCACTTGGAGAGGCCCGCGGCGTGGGGTGACGGGGAGGCGCGGGCCTTGGCGTTCAGCCGCGCTACAGACCCCCTATATTGTTCGCACGCGGAGGCGCGGGGGGTCTCGGACGCCACCCCTCGCTCAGGCCGCGATGGGGGAGGGGCGGCCCTCGCGGGGCGCCGCGGCCGGAGAGGCCCGGTAACGGTCCGGCCCGGTCAGCGTTCGGAACCTGTCGGGTTGAGCGAGAGCGGCCGAGGAGCCGAGGGCTCAAGGGCCACGTTACTTGCACACTCATCCTCTGTCCTGCTTGCCAGACCGCGGTGAGGACTCGCCGAGGGCATCAAAGCCCCCCTGGCCGGGATCTTCGGCAATTGGGTTTATATGGGGGGGGGTGGACCTTGACTTCCCGGACCCGATTGTCCTCGCCTGTCTGTACGCCGACCCCGCCGGGCAACTGGGGTCTTTATGAGCGAAGGCGGCAGACGCAGGTTGCTGCTTTCCAATAGGTTCTAAAATACCAAATAGAAGATAGTGAATTATTCTCTGCAGATTCTAAACCATTGGTAGGAACAGATTTTTATGATCATTTAATAAAAAATAACAGGTGTTTAGGAACTTAACGAGGAACCAAATTGAATCACTTAATTTCATTAGACAGTTGCCACTGGAGTGGTATGGATATGGATGCCTTGATTTTGGTTTGATTTTTCCGACCCTGCCACTAAACTGGATGCCCTTAGTTCACCTAATTACCTGGCTCGGTTCATCTTTCATAAGGAAAATGGGTTGCTTAAGAGTTACAAGGCTCCTAGGTTTAAATATTAATATTGTAAGCAGAGTGACTTTTATGTAAGCACAGTGCATTAGAATATACTTATTCTACACTGTCTTTTACGAAGAAATGGATTTTTCTCATTGCAGAAAAATCCCCTCTGGGATATAATATTTTTTTGTTTTAAGGTCTGGAGGAGAGTTAGTGAAAACTACTGGCACCGTGCTTGGCACCTGTTTAGTGCTGAGGAAATGTTTTCTCCCCTTTTCCTCTCTTTTCTAAAGTCCCTTTCCTATGGTCAGAATTCAGCTTTATTTGCTTTTATGTAATATGGAATACTGTTGAGTATTGTAGCAACATATTCTGCTTTGTGATACTGTTATTTATTTTTAAAATCTCCTCTCTAGGGCTTAATTTTCTTGAAGGTCAAAATGAGCTGGATGATGTGCATATGCATTTGATGAATTCTTTACAGTTGTGCAAAGAAAAGTGAAAAAGGAAGCCAGTCACCAGCATACACTTAAAAATAACCAGATGTCTCATGCTTTTCATCAGTCAGAAGGATTAAAAGTTGACAAGAATGGAACAGCACAAACTGTTGTTGTTCAGTGTTGTTTACATGTTAAGAGTTGGACTGAAAAGTTCCCCCTACTCAAGCCGGCTTCGATGGGCTGTCCTATTTTTGTTGTCTAACCATAGCACCTAAATGTATTAGAGGTTTTAATTAAGGTCTGTTATGTCAGTGATAATTTTAATAAATTTTCATTATCCGAAATATATTAATATCCTTACTACCTTAAATGTAAACGATCATAAATTGATCGTTTTATGAGTTCAAAACTAAATAAACAAGTCACTTAAAATCATTCTTTCACTAAGTTTGAGCTTATAATTGTTCATTTTCTAGTACAGCATGGGATAATCAAATTATAAATTCAGTGAGAGCAGAGACTATGTGAGGGATACGGTGGATACTTAATGTTTGATGAGTAATCAAAACTTGTGGGATATGTACTGAAAGTGGTAGAATGATAGAATTATCCTTGATAAGATTTAGGCATCATCTAGTTAATCTCACTATTATCTAGATGAGGATTTGAGATTTAGATAGGTTAGATTACTTAACCTGTCATTGGAGGTGGGTTTCTAACATAGATTTCTGACTTCCCAGATCAGTTTCCATCTGGAGCACTACACTTAATACAGGTTGGCACAATATTTATATAAAACTTACTCCTTCACAAGCTAGTGGGCAATTATGGACAAATGTCTAGAACTAAGCTAAGTTGCTTAGGAAAGCTCTCTTACTCTTCCACAGAATTCTTTTAGAAGCACTGTTAATAATGAAAAAAAAAAACTTTCATTAAAGAGTGATATTAGATGGGAAAACCAAATAGTGAAAATAGTGACTTTTAAAAGTCACTATTTATGGTGGTTTCTGGTTTCCTTCAAACATGTTTTGCTAAATTTCTTTTGAGGTAATTTAGCATTTCTACTATCTTAGTGAAAATCATACTAGGACCTTTTAGAAACAGCAGATGTTTTGGAAACCAGGCAACCTTTCATGAAATTGTTTCTCACTGGTGAGAAATAATTTACTTTTTTAGCTATAGTGTAAGAGAAGGGAGAAAATTTACTAGTGACAATTTGAAAAACTTGGCTTAATATTTCTAAAGACTTAATGTAATTTTAGTTTTCCTTGAAACCTATATAGTATGACAAAATGAAATCCACATTCTCATTCTGAAGTTGTTGACTCAAATAATAGAATTGTTTTTACATCTAGATTCCAAATATATACAAAATATATTTTACATCTTCCCATATTATCTGCTTAGAAATTTCCTTTTTTTTTTTTAATTTTTATATTTCTTCAAAATTTTTGTGAAGCTGTTTGGCTCTGGCAGGCATTCTATTGCCAGAAACAAGGACATAGATAGTACTGTGGGACAATGTAAAGCTGTTTTAAATTCAAGAGTCCTAAAGAAAGGAGACAGGCTTAGTTTGGAAGTAACTGAGGAAACTTAATATTCAGAGATAAGAGATTGTGAAAATTGAGTAAGTTCTGCCATTGGTGGGGAGAAATAGCCTTTACTGTTAGTGAAATCTGATACTCAGTATATGTTGAAGTGAAACCTTATAAAAGTAGTAAAGTACTGGAAGGTCATTTTTGCCAGTGTTGTTGTCTCTGTCTTTGCTTTTCAGATTGTTTGAGAAGACATAGAAGTGAATTAGGAAAGACTGCATACACATCTGTTCTATTTTATGTGTGTGTCTTGGTGTCTTTCTGTAATCCCTCTCAAATCAGCAGAGATGAATGTGGAAATGAGAGGCAAAGGAGTGAAAACAAATTCTGCTCCTGTATTTTAGTGTCTTTAGATCAATGTAAGCACCAGGCCCTTAAACTTCCCATGTTTCATTATCATTTTGAACTTCCCAGCAACCATTGCATTATTAAAGTATTCCCAGTGACAGACAAAAACCTCAAATGTGTGGCAGAATAGTGGAAAAATCCATCTTAGAGACGCTGTAGAGAAGTTGAAAGATTCACTGATAATTTTTTTGTCAGTCTACGTAGAATAATCAGGAGACACAAAAGGAATCATTGATAAACATTAAGAAGTCATTAAACTCTTAGTTAAAGCATTAACAAATTTCTGTTCTGAAAAGTAATAGGGCTAAAATAATAAGGCTGAACTATGAGACTTATAGAATATTTTGAATGTTTTTAGCCAAGAGTTCCAGAGGATTAATTTGAGCAGTAACAACTGTTCACAGTTTTTTGGAAGCTTGCCAGCGAGGCCTAAAGTGAAATGCCCATCATTCCCACCCCTAAGTAGTGATTTTCTTCCTCTTGTAAACATTTAAGCACAGTTCTGTGTTGTATTTCTTGCATCTCACAGGTTGTGATAGTAAAGTGGAATTTTTACACTCAGGTTATTTACTAATTTTAAATGGAGACTAAAGACAAACTGCTATGAGTGGGTTATGGTTGTATTTGTATGAGTGAGCAAATATAAGCGAGAATCACTTATTTTTCACTTGATACAATCTAGAAGTTGAAATTTTAAAAATATAACTTCATTCACTATGACAAAAAGATTCATTTCTTCAGTCACTCATAAATATTTGTTGTGAATCTGTTATGACCAGAGAATATGTAGGTACTAGGAATTCATTCAATAGTGAACATTCATTGAATTTATATTCTAGCAGAAATACTGATGATTAAAAACTAAGCAGACACAAATGATATAAATTTAGTTAGTGATAAATACCAAAACTAACTAAGGCAGCATAAAGAGAAGAGAGAGTTATCAGCTCAGTTCAAGTTAGGAGACTAAACTCACATAGTATTTTGAACAGAAAAGTTGAATGGAATAGGATTAAAGAAAACTCAAAAGTATATAGAAATTGTGTTTCTAAGAAGCAGCCATGACTTTTAGGACTACAGTTGGGTATCCAAATAAGAGTATTTGCTTCCTCTCAAACTTTTGACTTTGTTGGAGAGAATTTGACTGTCTTACTGAATGACAAAGAATTCACTGGTGCTATGTTGGTGGAAACTTGGTGGAAATTCATTCTTCAGAGCTTGTCTGGAAGTATGCCTTCTTGGGCAGGGGTTAGCAAACCCGTGGAATAGCCATCTGTTTTTTATTTTTGTTATTTAATTGGAATAGCCATTTGCAGTCTGCCCACATTTTGATTATATCTGCTTTCTTGCTACAAATGCAGAGGTGTAACCTTATGATCTGCAAGTTTACAATTTTTATTGGCTAGCTCTTTAAGAAAATGTTCATCAGTTCTTGCTCTAGATTACCCTAGGAGCTGTTCAAGGGGGCGATATCTTGCTAGACTTACTGTGATTTGAGATCTCCCAAGGGGGAAGGGAGTGCAGGGGGAATCTGCTGGCTTAGTATACTGTAAACCTCCATTCTATAGGAGCAAGGTGTTGGGAACACTGCAGGAGTCTGCCAAGGACACGATAAACCCAGGAAGGAAAATCCCTCTTTTACTATGAATTTTAATATGACTTTAGCATCTTCTGTTGATGGAGCTTAACACCAGGATGGCTGGAAAAGTAAGGTTTTTTAAAAGAACCCATTCCATGTATGCCGAATAAAAATGAATGGATTTAACACACCATATTGATAA